AGAGAGAGAGAGAGAGAGAGAGAGAAAGAGAGAGAGAGACAGAAAGAGAGAGAAAGGGAGAAAGAAAAAGAGCACGCGGTCTTCTGGGAAATCAGCAACTTGATTATGAAAACAGAACAAATGGAACCTTTGGAATTATCGGTATTTAAAGAGGAGGGTCATGGCGTCTGGGCTGGGGCTACTGCGTTCGAAGCCATTGAATTATCAGGCAAACAGCTTAAGTCTCATCGATAGACACGGGCTCAAACAACAAGACGTCATAACGTAATCATAGTGCGGTGAAACACACGTTTGTACGTGCTGCACCTTACCGCATCTTTTAGTTTTAGTTGGAGTTTTACGACACTCGCAACACAATACGGTCATTAAGTGCCGAAGATTAGGTGTTACAAGAGAGTAAAAAACACTTAGGAAGAAGGTGGAGGTAAAGACGATATGTACTTGATGGGAAAGAAGGAACAAACCACACCAGACCATCCGCCAACCACCCACCCTTATGGCACCTGGGCTTATTCTTTTCACATGGTCTGTAATATTGCTAAATACATAAAGTGTTCTTTGTTGAGTGGATCTGAGCTATATAAATGCAATTAATAGTGTATAATTCTCATGATTATGATTATTATGATCTGATGACGACGACAAAGACAACGACAATGACGACGACAACGATGATGATGACGATGATGATGATGATGATGATGAAGATGATTATGATGATGATGACAACGACAATGACGACGACGACGATGATGATGACGATGATGATGATGATGATGATGATGATGATGATGATGATGATGATGATGATGATGATGATGATGATGATGATGATGTGATGATGATGATGATGACATCATCATAAAGGACAGAGTGGCCACGAACCACAGAGCAGATAAAAACCAATAGCTGGCGTGGTCAGCCTGACACTGACTGCTCCCAACAGGACCACATCACTCTGAACCCATCAACACATGTCCCGACATTTCTACATTGAGCTCGAACGTGATGAAGCTAAGGCCAGATCTCCGGGGGCTTTTGCACGCTGCAGAGAGATCGTTGGCTTTTTGCGACCAGAGAGCCCATTGATCGGAGAAGTGCTATAAAACGACCGAGAAAGGAGAACGTCGAGCTTTCAGTGGTTGTCGATGAGTGAGCTGTCTTTTATGTCAAAGAGGAAAATGGCAATGCAAGGGTCTCATTAGGGAAGAGCAGGGCTTTCCACTAAGTGGGAGGAAGCCTGTTTCCTAGATGAGATGCACAAAAAAGCCCGCCATCTTATGACGCTGCATGGCGTTTCTTTCTTTCTGTTCCCACATGCTGATTTTACAGACCCTCGAGAGCAGCATAACAAACTTGACTTGAATGTCTTAGTTTAAGTTTCAGTAAGAGTTGCATGGCTCTAGAAACATAAACAGGTCATTATAAGAGACAAAAACATTAAAGTCATTGCTGGAAAGTAACACATAAAGAAAAGGAGGAGATAAAAGGACGATACATATTTATAGCACAGAAGGAGCAAACCGCAACAGAGCATCAGCCAACCACCAGCGATCAGAAAAGACTTAAGGACCAAAAAAAAAAAAAAGAAACAACACATTCATGCAAACAGACCGGAAGACACAAAGGACGTAATAAACGTGACACAAAGACATAAAAGTGGTGCAAGGAGGTTGGGGGGGGGGGGTGTCAGCTTGGATTATTTGATGTACTTTAGACAGCCCCGCCAGTTTTTGTACCAAAAGTAACTCTTCCATTTTACCGAACAAACAGAACTGTCTAAAGCTCTTACCTTATCTCTGATTCCCTGACGCATTGTTTCCCTCTCCTCCTCCATCTTCCTGTGTTTCTCCTTCCTCTTCTCCTCCATCTCTCTCCTGGCCTCTTCAATCTCAGCAGCCTCCGCATCATCAGTCTCCTTGTCACCCTCGTCCTCTTTGTTCATAGCACCTGGTTCGGAGGGAAACAGAGCATTCATTTGTATGTCGGAGTAATTGGACATTGAGTGAGATTTACATTGCTTCAACTACTCGAGCCTCTGTCATCGGTTTTGAGTGCAAAAACCGAATAGCCAGTGACCAATCATAAAAAACCACACAGATAAATGTTTACCTCCACAATAATAAAGTTCCCCCGAAAAATTAGTCCCAAATAATGGCTGTCGAATAGACAGTAGCTTCGGTCAAAGAACAGGCAACAGAACATCTCTGTGGCGATGAATAACTAACTAACCATGCGTTCGGGGGG